AGAAGGACAAAGCTCCTGCGAGCAGAAAAAAAAAAAAAAAAAATCGTAACCATATGAATCGTAAAAATGATTAAAGTCCATATTTTCAATTGTTCCAGCGACTTTGTGGCCTATACATGCAATACCCCAAAAAAAAAGGAAAAAAAAGGAAAAAAAAATAAAATTAAACCATTTCTCTCAAGCTCGGTGATATATTATGGGATGTGTATACATCAAAGCCGAGGCTCCAAACGGGAAAAACATACCATCGTCCTCCTCGAGTCCGGGTGACGTATCCTACCGTGGCATCATCGCCACCAGCGACAGAAGAAAAACAGCCAGCAGCACCGGACGAGAGCCAAGGGTCGCCGAAGCTTTCGAGGACGCAAGAGCCTCCGCGTAAGAAGCAACGCAGGTGGCGTAGGAGCGCGCCTCGAGCCGCGTGACAGCGCAGTAGTGGCGTAGGGCGCACAGGCCGTTCAGCGCCCCTCCGCAGCCCCAGATCTCCTCGACTTCCCGCGCCAACGACACCCGATTCGCCCCGTAGTACCTGCTCGGAGGAGAAAAACACCACGATAGATTGGGGGTGGAGAGAGAGAGAGAGAAAATATCCTGTTTCTCCACCCCCCCCCCTTGATCCTCTCTTGTACCAACCCACCTGACGAAAGCGTTTTCCCTCGGCTGCGTGAATCGATCGGCGAGGTCGTGCAAGCTCAGCGCCGTTATCTCGCCGAGGTTGTAGTACTCCCGCAAGTTGTACTCCAGTCGCCAGTTGGCCTGTTTGTTCGAGTTCGCCTCCGCTAAATTCAAGTAATACTGGGCGTAATCCAAAATCTGCAACAACACGCATTGCCTGTTGGTTTATTCATATTGAATGGTGAAATGGACGTGTATAGGATCATTGAAAGGATGTTTGGGAGAGTGAAAAACAAAAAAAAAAATAAAAAAATACCTGTCCAGTGTTGTTATCGAATTTGTAAAGTCTAAGGCCGGGGTTATTAGGTCCACCTTGCCTGTACGGTGTTATACTTGGCGACACCATGATCCAGGACACTGGCTCTCCTGACGAAGAAAAAAGAAAAAAAAAAAAAAAAATCATAAAAATACCCAACGATATGTAGGCAATGAGATGTACACATAGCGAACCATCATCGCTGTAGACGATGCGAAAGGTGTCCGAGTGCCAGTGACCGAAAAATTGGCCACGTATCATGTCCGCGTACTGACGGACAATCTGTAGGTAGCGTCTATTGTGCTCCTCGGTGAGGACGCCAGTACCAGCTTCACGATCATCGATTCCCGGTGGTGTGTGGCCCACGATATACACCTGTACTTGCGCACATAAAAATATCTTCATACCAACGTCAAGATTCTGTTGATTGTATATTTTTTCTTTCCCCTTTACATGTACAACTCTAATTTTTTCCAAGCTTTTTGCTCGTCTTTTTTTTTTTTTTTTTTTTTGGCTTTTGGTGCGAGCTACGAAAGACCTTGGGGGGGGGAAAGGAATTTTTGTTCATAAAAAGCCCACCCGTGTGAAAAAGGTGATGCCAGAGTCACACCGGGGACCTTCACGTTCGCATTCAACATAACAATCGCGGGTCACGAACTTGATTCGATCAACAAAAAGGAATTGGATATGATATTAAGCAGAGGGTGTCGACCCGATCGTGCGAAATGTTTCATTGAACATCGATAAAAGGGCGACGCGGGGGGAGGCCCTAGCTGTGTAAATCAACGTCGCATTCAGAGAGAGAGAGAGAGGCGAAATTCATTTTACTGGCTGAGGGGGGGTTGAGTCGCGGGTGTAGGCACACATATACGTATAGATGCAAGCGCAGACAATAGCCCACTGATTGATCCCAATTCCCGAAAGGGCCTCCTTTTGTTCCGGTGCGGCATCGCGATATATTATTACAAATGTATGCGTATAACTTGAGATTCCCGCGAGCACACGTGTAATTTCGTTCTATTGTTTTCCTTCGGCGGCACAAGTGAGCGACCCAATTCTTTGAGTCAAAGAAAATTTCTTTACCCTCATTCCGTTAAATATTTTCTCATGCCAAAAAAAAACAAAAGTTAATTGAAAATAATATTTTATTAAATTAAAATTTTCTTTTTTCAATTACGAATTTCTCATTTAGTTTTTTTTGGAATCGACTAAATTTGTTTCAATTAAAAGAAAATATTTAACGGAATGAGGGTAAAGAAATTTTCTTTGATTCAAAGAATTGGGTCGCTCAGTGATGCACAAGTGAGCTCACGCCTATACTTGTATTTTTCTTTTTTTTTTTTTACTTAAATTCTCGCTCCAAGCGCTCTCTTTTTCTCCCTCTCCTTCCGGAACATCAGTCAAGCTCACGGGTCGTACACATATATATATATATTTATGTGCGCGTGTACGGGTGCACCCTGTGTACTCACGGTTTTTCCCTTTTTGCGGGCCTTGTCGAGCACCGAGCGGAACCACTGCCACTGGTTCTCCGGGTCCGTGCCGGTGGTTACCGCCGCCACTCTTGCCCCGAGGCTCGCCCCGCTTCCCGTGGCCCTCTGGCTGGGTGCCCGGCTCTCGAGGAGCGACTCGGCGCTCAGCCACACATTCGTGTTCAGTGCTATGATCTGGTACCTCTTCGAGCGCTGCTCTATCGTGTAGTAGCCGTCTGCGATTGGAGACAATTATTTTTACGTCCGTACGACTAATGCAAAGGTAAAAACCATTTTTGGGTCCTTACTTTCCCTGAGGGTCGTTAGGGCCTCGTCCGGTAGCCAGTTTCGCCAGAGGTGGGCGACCTGGGACAAGTTGAGGCCGATGTCCTCGTGGCCCAGCACCGGGAAGACGAACTGGCCGGTGAAGGTGCGCGACAGCAGTTCGGTTATGTTTTTCAGGTGGTGGAGCCTACGAGTTGTCGACGCGCTCTCGCGACGGGACAGCGCGTCTCTGCAACGTGTTGTTTTTATCGCTAATGGCATTTTTCTTACTTTTTTTTTTTTTTTTTTTTTTTCCAACTCCAGCTTTCAGTTATCGAGTTGACCATAAATTATGTAAGGCTCATCAGTTACAATCAATGTCTTTTTATCACAAGTAAAACGATGGATTCAAGGGTGAAAGATAATTTCTACATGGTCTTCTTATCAAGGATGCTTTGCATTCATTAAAAAAATAGTGGGATCATCACTTGGATTAATATTGCTTGTGTGACCAATGGCTTGAACAATTTTTGTACAGGAGTGGCAAGCTGACATTTTTTATTTATTTATATAGCGCCCCGTTAAGTATGTGTATAATTAGTGTACGACGAGATGCAAAGGCACCAAAACGCGTGTATACGTACCTACAATTTTGCTGTTTATTTCAGTAATGTGGTGCACACTCAAATAGATTATAGTTAATGATGCGACACTGTGGTACGCCCTTTCCGTGTTATGATTAAATGAAAAGCTGGGGACAAGAGTCTCTCGATCTGTGAGGCTGTTATATCTACGTATATCAAATTATGATCGCTACGCATGACGATGATCACTAGCGCGGTTACCTATACTCTTACACGGGAGTAGCCAAACAGGTGTGTACACACACACATATATATATATATATATATATATATTTATTTATTTACCCAGTCCAGAGAACAAACTCGATACCGTCCGCCCTTTTGGCTTCCATGGCCTTCGCCGCCGACTGCACGAGACTCCAGGGCGAGTCGCAGCCGTAGTGCCCGTAAACGCCAGCCGGTGGCATTCGGTCGTTCAACCTCACGCGTCCGACATCTGAGCTGCCCTTCGTGCCCCAACATTCTGCAAATGAGATTGAAATTTTTTAATGGGCAAACTAATGTACATCTCAAAATACGTATGTGTGTATCGCGTGTGCAAAGGTTGGCGCCCCACGTTTATCAATCGAGTGCGATATTCATTTGTAAATTCGTGAGTGGGAGGAAACGAAATCGTTGACTTCCATATTCAGGGAAACTTTAATTTTTCTCGTCATTTTGGATAAAAACAAAAATGTTTTGATTCACGTGCATACTTTTGCATTTACAAAGATAATTCGTACCGTTGCGTTTGCTTGTAACAGATGATGGACGATCACCATTGTATGCATTGCATTGTTTGTCGTGCACAATGAAAATTGTGTAATTTTATGATGACCAACGTGCTCTTCTAATGTGACATTTCCAAAACTTATACGCATTTTCATCGGTAACGAAGATAATGTGGAGATGCAGGGGAAAAGAAACAATATCAATTTTATGATACACACATGTATTGACAAGATATTTTATTAAGGTTCCAACAATTGCTAGGCATTTTTAACATTCTTCTTCGGTCACTTGATTCGTCGTTATTTCTCCTCGTTCGCGTTTTGTCCTCATTTTCACGAACTCCTCCAAATTGTACTTGAGCTCGAACAACAAGTACTCAACGTCACTAAATGTTTCGCCAACGACGGGTTTCAAATCCTCGATACTCCGAACTACTTCTTCGTACAGTTGTTTGAACTTTTCCACTGGCTCCCTACCATCCTCCACTACGACGTGGTATGCCTTTTTGGCATCCCTCAGGAGGTCGAGAGTGCGCTTTTTGATGTCCGTCAAATCCGTTTTGGCCCCGCGGTACACTATTTCCGTGTCGTTTTTCAGTTTTTGGGAATCATCGATGACAATGTCGAACAATGTCCCAAAGTCGTCGTGAATCTTGTGCCACTGTCTTTTCAAGTACTCCCAGTCGCTCGTCGAGCCCGTCACCCACAGCAGAAACTTACCCGCCTGAAAATCGCATCCGAATGTGGCACAAATTTTATAATGACAAAATTGAATAACAAAAGGTAGACCCGAAGGAGCATCGATACCGTAGAGAAGACCTTGAGCTTTTCCACTTCTTTCTTCACGCTGTCTAGCAATCGTATGGTGTCCACGTAAGTGGCGTTGGTTACTTTCTCCACCGATTGAAGCGTATGGTTTAATTCAGCCCAATAAATCTCAAAGTGCGCGTAAGCATCGCGCTTCCCGTCAATGACTATGTCCATGTAAATTTTTTCCGTCTCCTCGATGAGTTTCAGGGCCCTTTCCTCGGTTATTTTCACCTTGTGGCTCATCTTGTGCCACTCGGCCTTCAACTTTTGGTAAGCCTTGCGACAACGCGATTTGATGGACGCCCATTTGCCTCTGGCTTTGTGGAGCTTGTCCGTTTTTTGGTGCTCCTGTAGTTCGACGAATACGACGTCTTGCTGTCGTTGAAAAATATTCACGTTAAAACTCATGGATTTTCAAATGGAACGTGATAAGTTACCATTTCTCACGCAACTCGACTTGCCTGTGTATTTGTCTTTAGCAACTCCTCGTCGACCTACCGATGATGAAAAAAATATATCGTTACGTTGCATTGGATGTGAAACGAATACATACATTTCTTTTTTTTTTTTTTTTTTTTTTACCTTGTATTTGTAAAGGTTGGAATTACCATTCAAAATTTTAGCAAACTCGTCGTTTAACGTCTGCTTACAGGAAAAATTGATTAAAATTTTTTGTGCACTTGCAATATAACGTATACTAATTACAATAAATATGTTGTGATTGTTGTAGTATTTATCTTACCACTGATTGACGATCTAAGCACTTTTTTTTAGGTAATGGATCAGCCAAAGCCAAACCAAAGATAACAATACCGATCACGACAGCTCGGGAATACATCATAAAGTTTGATCGTCGATTGAACTACAACTTTTTGCCCCTCAGGTTATTATATACCACAGATTTTTTTTTTTTTTTTAATTAATTTCTGTATTTTATGGATTACTCAACGTATTGATTTACTTTTGTGTGAACAGATGAGGGACTACAAATTTTTTAAATCCCCAATTTGAACCACCACACATAGTGCTAACAGATAAAACGCGTTACAAAAAACTGAATATTGATTTTTTTTTTTTTTTTTTTTTTTTTGGCAACAGCTTATTCGACAACTTCTGAGCAATCAGTTTTTTTGCATAAACTTTGCATATTTCTCAATAAATGTGTAAGATTAACATTTTTGTATATTCAAAAATTGTCCTCTTGATAATGTACACTCGAAGAATAAATTATCCAGCAAATGGAATATTTAACGAGGTTGCAGGGTAAAACTTGAAACGATTCTTATTTGAATAGAAGCCACGGTCACAGCTATTTTCTAGCACGTCTAATTGAAAGGAAAGAAAGGGAGGAACGAGCCGGGCCCGCATTTTCCTTTCATGACATTGGTAAACCCAATCCCAAGGAGAATACAAGTATACGTACAGCTCCTCCTTTGAGAAAGAAGATTCATACGGCTCATAGTGAGCTTTGGAGTATTGACATGGTGGAAATAAGGGAAAATGGAAAAATAGACGGGGTGGGCCGCGCTTCGCTGGGTAAACTTTCTCGGAGCGACGAAACGTGATAATTGAATAGCTTTTCAAATCTTTTCATACTCACCTTCGTCTATATCAACACAAATGCTTCAAAGTGTTGGTGTATCTCTCTTCTCGAAAAATAACTTTTAATTTCATGATAATTGGACGTATATTATGTTCATACATATTCGTATGTTCCACAAATACACATATATTATGGATGCGCAAAGATGGAAAAAAAAAAATTGTAGTCTCACATTTGAATTTTTAAAAACAATTTGTTTCTTCTTCTTTATTTTAAATGAAAATTTTTTATGCCCAGGAAATTTATTTTCTTTTTGGCCAGCAATAACCTGTATCGTTCATTCGCGAAACTCAATTCGATGCGATGAAGAAAATGATCATAGATGCATTAATATAGGGACTATGCAAACTATAATCCTTTTGATTACAAAATGTGATGATGCATGTCGGTGAGTACATAACGTGTATTATCGTTTTGGTAAATGCAAAAGTAAGCCAATATAGCTTTGGGTGTACATATGCACTCGAGTAATTAAACGGGCCAACCACGAAGAGTGTATTAACACATTGAGCTGTTGGTATGGGTATACTGAATATATATATATGATATTGTGTATTCATAGATGTAACGGTGCTTACTGCCATCGGGGCTGCCCTGGATCGAGTAGTTCGGGTCATAGTGTACGTCGCTTATGTGCCAAAAGTAGCCTAAAAAAAACACGGGGTCATTGAATAATTGGTAAAGCCCGCAGTGCACGCTATTAGTGCAGCTGCCACGTGTAATCCTTCATTCATTATGTAGGTACACGTCTAACAATACCCATTTCCATCCAGCTTACCTTCCTTGCCGTACACCGTGCAAACCCATGACAGCAACAACACGTAATCCCAGATCATCGCAGCACCTTTTTCCCCCTCGCTCCTTTTTTTTTTTTTTTTTTTTCTATGCAGGTGTTAATTAATTATCCGGCTGGACGCATGTAACGATTAATTGTGTATAATTAGTGTACGACGAGATGCAAAGGCACCAAAACGCGTGTATACGTACCTACAAGTACATATCAGCTGCTTTACCGTTCATGAAAAAAAAAAAAAAAAATCGTAACCATATGAATCGTAAAAATGATTAAAGTCCATATTTTCAATTGTTCCAGCGACTTTGTGGCCTATACATGCAATACCCCAAAAAAAAAGGAAAAAAAAGGAAAAAAAAATAAAATTAAACCATTTCTCTCAAGCTCGGTGATATATTATGGGATGTGTATACATCAAAGCCGAGGCTCCAAACGGGAAAAACATACCATCGTCCTCCTCGAGTCCGGGTGACGTATCCTACCGTGGCATCATCGCCACCAGCGACAGAAGAAAAACAGCCAGCAGCACCGGACGAGAGCCAAGGGTCGCCGAAGCTTTCGAGGACGCAAGAGCCTCCGCGTAAGAAGCAACGCAGGTGGCGTAGGAGCGCGCCTCGAGCCGCGTGACAGCGCAGTAGTGGCGTAGGGCGCACAGGCCGTTCAGCGCCCCTCCGCAGCCCCAGATCTCCTCGACTTCCCGCGCCAACGACACCCGATTCGCCCCGTAGTACCTGCTCGGAGGAGAAAAACACCACGATAGATTGGGGGTGGAGAGAGAGAGAGAGAAAATATCCTGTTTCTCCACCCCCCCCCCTTGATCCTCTCTTGTACCAACCCACCTGACGAAAGCGTTTTCCCTCGGCTGCGTGAATCGATCGGCGAGGTCGTGCAAGCTCAGCGCCGTTATCTCGCCGAGGTTGTAGTACTCCCGCAAGTTGTACTCCAGTCGCCAGTTGGCCTGTTTGTTCGAGTTCGCCTCCGCTAAATTCAAGTAATACTGGGCGTAATCCAAAATCTGCAACAACACGCATTGCCTGTTGGTTTATTCATATTGAATGGTGAAATGGACGTGTATAGGATCATTGAAAGGATGTTTGGGAGAGTGAAAAACAAAAAAAAAAATAAAAAAATACCTGTCCAGTGTTGTTATCGAATTTGTAAAGTCTAAGGCCGGGGTTATTAGGTCCACCTTGCCTGTACGGTGTTATACTTGGCGACACCATGATCCAGGACACTGGCTCTCCTGACGAAGAAAAAAGAAAAAAAAAAAAAAAAATCATAAAAATACCCAACGATATGTAGGCAATGAGATGTACACATAGCGAACCATCATCGCTGTAGACGATGCGAAAGGTGTCCGAGTGCCAGTGACCGAAAAATTGGCCACGTATCATGTCCGCGTACTGACGGACAATCTGTAGGTAGCGTCTATTGTGCTCCTCGGTGAGGACGCCAGTACCAGCTTCACGATCATCGATTCCCGGTGGTGTGTGGCCCACGATATACACCTGTACTTGCGCACATAAAAATATCTTCATACCAACGTCAAGATTCTGTTGATTGTATATTTTTTCTTTCCCCTTTACATGTACAACTCTAATTTTTTCCAAGCTTTTTGCTCGTCTTTTTTTTTTTTTTTTTTTTTTTTTTTTTTTTTTTTTTTTTTTTTTTTTTTTTTTTTT